AGAAAGGATGTTTCCCTTGTGTTCATCACTCTTGCAGCTTGTCTGACACAATGTGAACTACTTCTCTGAGAGGCCTCTGAGGAAAAAGAGATGTGGGAGGCTGGAAGTTGTCTTGAAATACTTACTAAGTGCACTGACTGAAAGCAACTGAAAGTCAAGAGCAGCTCACAGGTTATAAGAGGGGTAATTAATCACAGTATCAGAATAATCAGGTGGATGAACTCTTTGCAGTTTGGAGAAAACCCCTCCCCTACACATCTCAGTTTTGTGGCTCTGTAGTCAGAGCTACACTATCAATTTTATCAATAGTTAATCGATTTGCTCGTGTATTGATGTGCACGTATATGGTCATATGTGGAGGAATTACTGAGGAAAGCTCAGATTAGAAAATGGGCTTTGGTTTTTTGTTTTGGCAATAAGATGGTCTCTATTCTTAGTGGGGAAGTGAGTTTCAGGACTTGGCTCTATGATCTGCGGAAACCGGTCTTCGTGTGCTTGAGTCGTTTCAAGTGTGAGCTTCTGGTGGGATGCATTTGTTACAGAATGTCACGGAGCAGGAGCTGGTCTCCTCAGAATTAGTGCGATGGGGAATTTGTCAGCACAACAGGCTGAGAGGCAGCTCTCTCCCAAAGCTCTGCAGCTGCAGCCCTCCTCAGCCTCTTGTAGAAAAGATGCCCAGATAGTCAACATTGCTTCCTGAATGCCAGGAACATAGAATAAGATTTGCTGCACAGAATGCTTGGATGATTTAAGGGAAGATATGATCCCATCCAAATGATTTCCAAAAACATTTTGTCTAGCATAGAAGTCAGTATGAATCAAGACTGTTCCCTGGCAATTGAACAGGAGAAGGATACAATTCACTAGATGAATAATTTGCTGTGAATGGTTTGTTCATCTCTACTCCAGTGTTTTCTAAGCAATTGTTTATTATGACAAATTACCGGGTAACTGATTTGTTCAGGCTGTGGTTTGAGACAAAGATCCTGTCTTCCTTTGCTGTGGATCCAGCCTGCTGAGCTGAGTGACAGCTAGTGCTCCCTGAGCTTGTCGGGAAATGAATATTCTTGAATAAAAGCAATCTGTGATTAAAACGTTGTATCACTCTGTCCCATTCAAGTATTTTATTTTAACTTTTCAAACTGAGTATTGTCTTTTGCTAGCAGTGACTACAGTGTAGAGGTGTCTCCACAGAGTCAGCCTGGCAGTGGTCTGCTTAGCCCACTGTGACAGAGGAGGCTGAACAGCCTGGGTGCATTACAATAGACTTGGTAGTTAATCACTGGAAAAAATTGCCAGAAGGGACTAGAAAAGATTATTACTGTTCAGGAAGCTCTGCCTGTTATGTGGTGGGGAATGGTTAGCCTGTTGTAGGGAGAAAGCTGTGGGCTTTGTGGTGTGCATGTTTCATGGTCCCTAGGCTCCCTCAGGCAGGATGTGCCTGGTGGGCTGGCAGACTTGTGTTGCTGCGGTGGATCTGCGGTTGTGTGCATCCCTCTCTGCATGTTTATCCTTTGAAACAGGAGGTCACTAAGATATTAAAATAAGCTCCAGAATTAAATTTCTCATGTGTAAGGAGATGTTTTTTTTTTTTTTTTCCTGCTATAGTTTCAGTACTTCCTCATAACAGCCTATGCTTCAACTCTACGAATAAAACTACTTGCTGATATGTATGTAGGTTGCTGTTATATTATGAAGTTTTTCTGCTTGTATCTGCTCAATTATGAAGGCAAAGATTGTAATGCAAATTTGCTTATATTGAGACATGGTGTTTTCAGCCCTTTGGGAATCTGATTTTGGAATTTCCAAACTGGAAAAGGCAGATCAACACCGATTCACAGAAAAATGAATGCTTCTTAGCAGGAAGCAGTGCTACTTGATAATATCTCACCAGGCCTTGTTGTAGTGATGCTGTGCAAACTGTTATTTCCTGTTTAAAGGTATTGGAATCCAACCCATTGTTACTAATTTAGAAAGACAGGATTTATCTAGGTATAACTTCTATGCTTCACCACAGTAGCTTCATTAGTAAGACAAATCACCTTTCAAAGGTGCCTTTCCTACCTGTCTATCTACCCATCTCTAGCACCCTGCAGTAGCATGTCTTTCTTTCTTTCTTTCCCCTGACTAATAGGAGTCTGTTACCCTTCAAATGACTAAGTAAATGGCACTGAAATCAGGTGAGATCAATCTTACTGTAAGAACTAGTATCAACATGTACTAATGTAAGCATGCTAGTTACGCAGTATGAAATTCTCATAAAGAAATATAGGAGTAACCATTTTTTTCAGATGAAGTGATCCTCTTGTCATGACTGTTGGCCTAGTTTATGACGATACAGTGGAAGTAAGTTTAATTTCTCAGGGTAATTACTACTATTTTTAAGTATTCCGTATTTGTGAAAAATTTCTATTTTGTTGAAGTTACTTTTGAGGGAAAGGTTAGGGTTTATTTTAGGGCTTTTGATAAAAATGTGAACATGCTTCATTTTCATAAAACATTTTTATATGGCATAAAATACCTTCTTAATGAGTAGTCATATACACTTTCATGTGTCACAGAAGAGGTTTCATTGTCAATACAAGAAAGCTGGTTGCAGGAATGGTTTGTCTGCTAAGCTGAACTCAGTGTTTCCAAATCCCGTGTAACTGACTGCAAGGGATATCTTATTCTTTCAGCTAGGCAGCAGCAGGGACATGGAAGTAGGAGAGTTAATTTTTCTCTGGTCGTGTTGTAATGTAAATTGTTTCACCTCCCATTATCAGTTCTTGAAACCTCTCTAGTTTTCTGGTTTACAACTAGTATGAAAAACAAGGCAATTTTTTGTTCAGCTTCACCAAGGTTTATATTGTAAAGTAGGCTTGTAAAAGAATAAGACATAGATATTTATAGTAATGAAAATATTAATGAGATTTAAGGTGATCTCAGCTGGTATGCTGGAAGAACCAGCAAATCAAATGTCTTCAGAATATATCTCGCAAGATATCAGTGTATTTGATTCTTTTTCCTTGTTCTTAAAGGGGAACATTTTTGTAAATGTTCTTTAATTTCTTTGAGCCCAGTTTCAAAGTGTAAGGAGGAGAACCTCAGACTTTGTCAGGAATGCAGCTTGCATGCAATTTTTCAGATACCCGTCTTTCTGCATTATGTGATAGGACAGCTTAATAAAAAGTCTTATACTAGTTCTTAATGTTAGTTTCTTTCCATTTATGCCTAAATAGATAAATAGCACCTCATTCCTCTTTCTCAATATGCCCCCCCCCCCAAATTTCTAATGAGATAGTGTAGCAAGAAGCACAGCTTTCAGAAATATTTGTTTCTTAAAGGCATCAGTTTTGACTGTAAGTAACAATACTGCTGCTAGCTAACCACAAATTTATTTGCAAGAGGTTGGCTCTCAGCATTGTGGTTGTTTCCTAGCAAGGGCAAGCAATATGGTGGCTACCAGGTGCCATGCTGATCATTTAGGCTTTGACCCTTTTCCTTTGTATTTTCTCCCTGATTACTGTCATTCTAGAGAAGAGCTTTGTCAACAGATAAACATTTTTCTTTTATGAGTAAGAAGACAGGCTGATTAAGGTGCAACTTTACTTCTAACATTGCTCTTCGCTGCCCCAGAAGAGCACAAATAGGGGATGCACTCACACACTTGGGCTGGAGGCATAGACAGCAGCCCACTTCCAGGTTCTTTCTTGTAGGCCCCAGATCAGGGAGTAAGCATAAGCAAGGGAGATAAAATGGTGGAAGGAAAGAGATTGAGAGAGAGAGAGAGAGAGAGAGAAAGAGGCCAGCAGTGTGAGATAAAAATTAGGCAGGGCAAACAATTGTAAAGCTGGGACTTGTATGGGTCTTTCTCAGAAATAACCTTTTCAGAGATTTTTACCACTTTCAGTTGACTCATAGCCAGCACTGCAATTAAGCTTCAATATATTTTATAAAAAATAGTACTTAGTTTACTTTCACATAAGTGAAGAGATACAATTGCACAATGGTGGTTACAATGGTAGAAATACATACTGTCAATAAAATGTTTGCAAGAGATTTAAAAACATACTTTACAGCACCACATCTGAAATTGGATGATGGCAAATGAATCATACTCCATGTCCAAGTAAATTAAATTCTTAAATATTTCTTTTGGAATAAATAAAAAAAATACAATGTGCAATATGTCTGATGCTACCAAAATATTTCCTGATGTTGAGCAATAGATTAGAAACAAAAATGAGGTAAAAAAACACATTCATGCATTTAAGCCACCATTAGTCTCTGACTCTAAAATAAGGCAGATCATAATCTTTTAAAAACTGTCTTTAGCCACTTAAATTCTCTTTAGTGCTTTTCAAGATAAGGTCTTGTCAGACCTTGTGGAATCATGAATTAAGATGCTTTTATTTCCAACAGGTCTTTTTTGACAGGCTCAGCCATATTTGAAATGCATTATATGGTAGAAAATGTTGATTTTCCTTAATGAAAAAAGAAATATAAATTAAAAGGAACTGAGAGAGACGGATGCTTTTAGAGTTTATCACATATGACACTGCTCTGAGGGAAGGAGGTGAGGGAAAGGGAAGGGAACTAAAATTATGTGTCATCTTCAGTTTTAATGACATGGAAAAGGGTGACGTTAAAGAGGACTTGATGTCCGTTATTCCAGGCATAGAGAGCTCTATCTCTTGCATTGTAGTCAAGCATGGATATATGAAAATACTGGTTATGGAAAGGAATGTCTGTATACTCGTAAGTGGAGGTTTTTGTGGAGTACGAATAGTAGACCTTGGCTCCTGTTAAGTGAGAGTTAGTTACGTACAAGGTGCCACAGATCATGAAGGATTCTCCAGCACTTCTCTTTGGGTAGCCTGTGCTCCAGCTCTTCAGCACCTCCAGTGTATCCTGGTTTAGCTGGCTGATGACAATGTTGCCTGCATTCTGGTTGGTGGCATACACAGCCCATAGCCCAATTTCATCTGCCATCAGGTCAATATCAGAAAAGCCACCCCATGTGTAAGGGTAGACATTGTGAAAGCCAGCATACTCAAGGCTACGCTGCGCAAGCACCCGCCCAGTGTCAAAGCTGTATTTGATGATGATGTTGCTCTGATACTTGTTGAAATAGAGGGAGCCGTTGTAGACAACGTGGTTGGTTCCTGCCCATTTGAATGGAAGGTTGTATGTCCTTGACTCAGCCCCGCTGACAAAGTCTGCAATGGATTTATATTCACGGACAATTTTATTGTTAGTGTAACTATCCATGTACCAGACCTGGAAAGAAAACAAAGATAAGGAGTAAACACCTGGAACACAGTCTCTGGTATGTGAAGAAATTTTCTCAGGACGAGATGGGGCTCAGCAGAGTTTGCTGCTTTCCTAAAGGTAATCGAGACTCTTGGGGTCAGTAGTAAACCTGCATGGACACAGTGGGCAGGGGAGATGTGCACACAAATCTTTAGTTATCACTATTTGTACGTTGCCTTTTCTGTTGCCTTTGTCTTTTTCTGTATTAAAAAAAAAGAAACTTTTGGGTCTTATACAAGTGACTGTTTTGACTCCAAAAGCCCTTTGACGAAGAGAGCATATCTTCAAAGCTGTGGCCAATCTGAGATCCTGTTGCAGATCCAAACAATAATATAATTTGGATCTGAGGCAGCAGATCATCTAAGTATAGCTTGTATAGGGCCTAATCCTGCAAATTTTGACTGTGCTGTTTTATGGGCTGTGGTCTCGGGTAAAAGTGTTGATATTTTTATTATATTACTTGGGTTCTTAAAGACCCAAGCTCAATTAAATATGGTAGGGAGAAAAAATTGTGTAGTCAGTTCAGGCAGGTGTATGTCAGCCCTGAAACCGGTGAAAGAAATGGCATAAAGGTGCTTAGCTAACTTTTGTCATTGGGTATTTTTGCACAGACACTGTTGCTTTTCTCTGAAGATGTTTAGCAATGCAAATGAATGAAGCAGAAGAATCACGCTTGCAAATGTAACCTCCTAGGGGCAGAACGTCTTTTTAAAGATTAAAATAAAGCAAGTAAAACTCCAGAAGGACACAAAGAATATATTCAGTGCCTTAACATACTCGGTTATTTTTCTCTGATGCTAATGGATCTGTCATCCAAGCTCCAAATCGGGTTCCGGATATCTTGACTGTAATGGGGCCTGTAATTTTCATCAATTTGCCACATGCTGAAATTAGAAAAACAAATGCATTAATGCAAATATTTACACAACTCCTTTTAACATTAGTCAGAGCACAAGAACAGTTGCCCTAAATTAAATAGTAGCTCCAGGGTAGTCAGGCTTATGTTGAAGAGAGATTGACTTCCTCACCATATGAACTTTTCCATATCAAGCAGTAATCTAAATATGTAAACATATACAAATAGAAATTTATTTGTGTGTGTTTTTTTTTTTTTTTTTTTAATATATATTTTAAAGCACAATTACGTTTTCTGGGCATAAAGAAAAATACAACCTAGTAAAATATCTTCTGAGGTGAAGTGAACAACATTTAGTAATAAATGGAAAAATGACTTGAACTCCCCTCAGTTTTGCTTTCAGAAAGTTCAGTGCTAGGCTAGGGTTGCTGGATGTTCCAGTCTTCCATTGACCAAGGTAACAAGGAACTTAAGGACAGACAGGAAAAAATGAGCTTGTATGCAAAGTGTATATATAGGTGTAAATAAATGCCTGTGTCTGACTGCCCTGTGGTTACACACATGTAGTTCTTGGGGCTTGTCTGAAGTTAAGAAAGCAAATATGGCAATTATTCAGCAATTTCGGCTGTATCATTTGGCTTCTAATCTATTAGGCTGTCTCATATTAGACTGTCTGGGAGGAAATAATGACAGTCGATACGATCTTGGATGCTGACCTTCCTAACAATCCAAAAAATCTATTTTTTAGTGGACATGAATAACATACCTATTAGCAACAAGCCCCTAGTGGAATTTGCGTGTTTACAAAGAGGCTAAATAGCACACAGTGGTGTGTAGGCCATTAAGTGAAATAGCACATTTTTGAAGAAAAAATGTTCCATAAGAATGTAAAAAGAGACACATTTATTTTTTTAAATTTTAAAATAAATGCTTCTCTGTGATATGTGACTGTGCTATGTTGCATAACCCGATCTATCTAGGAAGTGTGGAAACCAAACTGTATCTGGTGTTGAGAGTGAATTTATTAAATTTAAAAGACATGGTCCCATCAAGCCTGGATTTTCTGCTTTATGTAACTGGCAAGGGATGTGTTGTGCAAGCCTGTTTCAGTCAATTAGAAGGTGGTTGATGCTGTGGTGACAACTTAGTGGCTACCTGCAGGGATTTCATTCACAGACAGGGATGTGGGCTGTAATGGAAATGAAGATAACTGACTACCTGTCAAGACCTCAATGAGCAGGGTAGGCTCAGGTTATTTTCTGAGTCAAGTCAAAGACATTACTTTCTACATATCTCAATCTATGTTTCTTACAATCTTTTGAAGATGTTTTGGAATTTCCTATTTTAAAGAATCTTACAAGTTTTCTACAGTTGGTAATGATTTTTTATTCTGGATTTTTTTTTTTTTTTTTTAATAGGCTGCTAGCATTGTGTGCTGTTTTTGTATAGCAATGAACTGCTATTAACTTGGAAAGTAGAGGAGATTCACCTATCAAGGTGTAGGCTTTTATTTTTACGTGGTATGTTAGTAAATAGTCTCAGAAATGGTCATGAGGTAAACTCAAAGCTTCAGAGGGGTTTAATTTGGAATAAAATTATCAGTGTGCATTGAAGTCCCTGGGTGTTTGCGTGCATGGTGTGCCACGTGTGACTGGAGCGTTTATTGTAAGTTTCTAGTGCTGAGCTTCCTCTGTTGTATTACTGGTATTGATCCTGAATGTATAGTTCTCTGATAGCCAGTTAATTACATGCTGTTAATAATTAATAAACCTCTTCAGCCTTGATTTGGCTTAAACTATATGAATGGAGTTGCTTTTTCCTGTGATGGGGGTCAGATGCTTTTACAGGATGAGCTTTCAAAATGTGAGATACTGTTCAGTGTGAAAAAAGAGATGATATTGTATGTTAGCTGCTAAATGATCAACAGTTTGAGTCAGGATATAGTTATGTGATTAAATTTTTATTCCCAGGTAGCATGTAGTGATTAAGAGCAGAAGACTGTTAGGAGAGTTGCCAGTTCAGTAGGCAGTGGACTGAAAAAGTGACAAAGCTTCTCTTTTCAGCATAACAAAACAGAGCATCCTGTAAAGAGGTATGAGGATTTTCTTCTCCCGTCCATCCCATCTTTTCCTTGTGCATTAAACAGAAACTTATAAATCTACCTGTTTATTGCATAACTTGATGGAACTAGTATTTAAAACTAAGTAATACTACAAGTATTTTTTCCACATATGGTAAGCCATTCCCATTGTAGTGATAATTTATATCCCATCAGCAGGTTTCTGCTGTAAACCTCAGCAGTACGTGAAGTCTGTTGGCCTGCTTGCTGATTGCCTGTGCATTAAGAAGGAAGCTGTAGAGCTGTCAGTGTCCCCTTCTGTCTTGTGCCTAAGCTTAATAAATGAAGTCTCTGCCAAAATTATAGTCGTGTTAAGTCTAGTACCCTGTTATTGTAGACAGACTTTCTCTGTAATTATTGACATGATTTTAAAAATAGGGAAACGTTGTTTGCACCTGACTACCCTCACCCTTACTCCAACTGCAGAGTGTTTCAGAATCTCATTCTTCTGTTAATTTGGAAAAAGTTCAGAGCCACGTGAATGGGTGTCATCTCTCTGTCCTTTTGAGGACAAAGAGATGGAGTCAGAACTTGAATCACTGCTTCCAGACATATGCCACATGTAACCTCTTACCAATAAGTCCTCTCAGATGAGAAAGAACCACTTGAAAGTATGGGACAAGGCCCCACAGCAAGTCTTGGCTGAATGGTCAACTTGATAAATTGCTCATGCTATTTTGAATGGTTTAAGGCTGTGAAAGTAACTTTTGTAGAAGTAAATTGTCCCAAGTATGCCACAAACCAACTGGCTTACTAAGTACTATTCTTGTGAATACAGTGAACCTGTTGCTGACTGGTGATGTGAGGAAATGTGAGACCAGGCAAAAATAATAGAGGCCAAATTGTTCTCCCTTTCTTACTGAAATCCTTCTGAAATTCAGCTCACACTTTCTTCCGTCAAACCTTCAGACAATCCCCTAATGCAGTATTGCTTAAATATTGGACCAGAAGTTCAGATAATCAAGTGAATGCAGTTAAGAAAATAGTAAACATTCTTCAAGAGAAAGGTGGCTGTCAATGGCTCCATGTCCC